TTGGCCTGCAGTCTAGGCAGAATACGGTCCGTCAGGTCCAATGCGTTAGCAATACCTAAGGGGTTAAAGTTCACCGGTAAGTCCAAAACGACCCTCTTTATATAGGAGACTGTTCACAGAAACTGAGTCCACAAATTTGGGGAGATAAATGCACGACTACCTTACCAATGAGACAAACGCGAGAGTTGGCCAGGTAAGGCCACTCAAAGATCGTGTAGAGAACCTCCTGAGACTTGCTGTCCAACTGGTCCATCTCATCAAGAACCAACAGGCTGTTGCACACAAAAACACCATAGTAAGAGCTTATCAAATAAACAAAACATGTTTGACTCCGAATACAAAATCTGACCTCGCTCACAGTACATATGGTTCATGCAAATTAGCACGAGCCGACTTACACAGTGGACCCAGAGCTGGTCAGAAGTTTCTCCAGCCGAGCCTCGCTGTTGCCCTTTGGAGCCCCCAGTTTCTCTCCCAGCAACGGAAAGATGGCATGTGAGCTACGCAGATTCATACAGTTGATGACCACAGTCTGAACACCTTTCAACAGAGCCTGGAAACGAGAGAAGACAGATGACCATAAGCACAGTTGTTTATGCATCACCTCATTTTAAGTTCATGTTACAATTTTGCATGCCAGATTTTTAAAAGTAAAGGCTGATGTACACCACCATTCAAAAGTTTATGGTCAGAAATAAACGTAAACATTTTTTTTTTAAATTTTCTGAAAAGGTCTCTTATGGTCACCAAAAGCTGCATTTATTTGATCGCAAATACAGTAAAATATTAATGTTGTGAAATTATTATAATTAAAATTACCTTTTTATTTCTTGTGATGCAAAGCTAGATTTTCAGCATCATTACTCCAGTGTCACATGATCCTTCAGAAATCATTCTAATAAGCTGATTTGCCATTCCAAGAAACGTATATTATCAATGCTGAAAACAGCAGTGATGCTTAATTTTTGTGGAATGCTTTGAAGTAAATTAGAAACTTCACAAGAACAGCATTTTAAGAAAATAGATATTTTGTTACATTCTAAACATCAATTTAATGGATCCTCAATTTTAAACATTAGTGCATTTTAAAGTAGTGCTGTTTGATTTTAGATGCTCAGATTTCCTCTCAAGCTCACCTTTTGTTCCTGGAGGACGCAGTTCAGACAGGCGGCCTTGCCTGTGCCAGGAGCACCAGAAATATAGAGGCTGGAGGGTTTTTCCGCCATCACGTGGTTCTCCAGGAAGGAGACGATGGCAGCTCTCTCTGCCTCACGAGAGAGAGAAGACGTTCAGGTACTGCAGTGTGAAGAGCCTGCTTTACACTCTGATAGCCCAATTCTGCAGAAGAAAAGACCACGACAGATACAGATTGCTTATTAAATGTCAGCAACTGAGTAATGCGTGACACCGGTTTTAATACATCTACGTAAATAAGCTAACAGACAATGAACAAAACATACTTTTCACAGGAAAGAGTCGAGTAACAGGGAGCTTTCCCTAAGTACAGGGGATTGGGTTTGAGCAGGGGGTCTCTTGCAGCCGCTTTGGCGCTGGACGTGAAATGGGAGAGAGAGGAATTTTGGGTGAGGAGAAGACCGGCGTGTTCTCATTGAAGGCCAGTTTACGAGGGGAGCCCAGAGGAGCGCAGCGCTGTTTAGGAGGAGAGCCAAGCATAGAGGCCGGGAGGTTACAGCCATTCTCGTCACCTGAAGAACAAACACGGGAAGACCAAGAGCATCGTCAATAAAAGACTTAAACCATGCCACATTACTATAAGCCCAGCAGCCATGATAGGTGTTTAAAGGGGGGATTGGGTTTGAGCAGGGGGTCTCTTGCAGCCGCTTTGGCGCTGGACGTGAAATGGGAGAGAGGGGAATTTTGGGTGAGGAGAAGACCGGCGTGTTCTCATTGAAGGCCAGTTTACGAGGGGAGCCCAGAGGAGCGCAGCGCTGTTTAGGAGGAGAGCCAAGCATAGAGGCCGGGAGGTTACAGCCATTCTCGTCACCTGAAGAACAAACACGGGAAGACCAAGAGCATCGTCAATAAAAGACTTAAACCATGCCACATTACTATAAGCCCAGCAGCCATGATAGGTGTTTAAAGGTGATTATTTACACACCTGTACGTTTGCGGGGGCTCAAGGGCAGCCTCTCAGACAAAGAGGTGTTTTTCAACACAGAGTTCCTTGGAGACAGACAGACGCCGGGCGGATCGCCCACATTTGACTTTCTAGGGGACAGAGGGGTGGTCTGGACGTCCACTGCATTCTCAGAGGAGCTTTTAGGTCGAGAACCCAATCTGGAAGACTTTCTTCGGGGGAACTGAAGGGTGGGCTGATTCTGTGAGCGAGTGCTGGGCATTTTTAGTTTAAAACCAGGAAGCAGATCTGAAAGGAAAAGCACAGTGATGACTTAGTTTACAGCAAATCAATGACTTTCAAAGCACAATAGCTTGCCATATAGTCTGTGTCAGATCTACTCATGTGATTAAATTACATCTGTAGCATCAAAACTGTAGCTTGAGGAGCAAACTGAGATAACCCATCAAGAATTTAGCAAGTAAGTGTAGTTTTCCCTGTAGACTCTGAGGTGCGAGTCTTTAACGAAGTCATACTAGCCTAAAACCTGTTGGGGGTTGGTTGTTGTATAATATCATCAAGTCTTACAACAAAGACAATCATTTGTGGCCATTTTGTGCAGACTCCCACAGATCAAAGATCATAAGGTATGTAACTTAGTCCTTTCCATTCTGGCCGTCTGGACCTACAGGCACTTAGTAATTGCTTATTTTATTAATGTTTTCTGTCGGTTTTATTTCACGACGCGCTTCAAAAATAAGTCCACTATCAAAATAAATAGTTTTATTTGTTGCGGAAACACTTGTGCATGTCTAACAAATACTGTAAATGAAAAGTGAGCAGCTCCTGCTGTGGGTCATTTGGCGCCAAGTTCACGCGCATAACAACAACACTTAATAAAACTAATTTTATTTAAAAACACTACACAACAATCTTTTAAAACGATAGAATTAATATAATGAATGTCTTACCTCATTAAAGCTGAATTTGTGTTGATAATCGTTGTAATTATCACAAGTTGTAGATCGCTCTGCGTCCGCTCACTTCCTCGCCGTCAGACGTGTGCTGTTGCGCATGCGCAGTCCTCCTCTGAACAGCTGGCGTGTGACGTGCGCTCATGACAACGCATTTCATTGGCTGTCGGAGTTCCTTTTGGTTTTAAGGAACCAATCGGATTCTTAGTCCCTTCCCCCATTGCCTTGACTGTGAAGGCGGGTAATTCTTTGTTGGCATTTTGGCGGAAAGAATTTCCCGGGAAATATTAAGAAAGTTTTTCCCACTTGACTCCAGGTTTGCTGCATAAATTGAAGGAAGGTGTTCTGCCATCAATATCCACTCTTGACATTTTTATTTTAATCTTCCTGGTGTAGGCTTATTTCTGCCTCGCGCACACTCAGTAGACATGCTGTAATATTCTGAATTCGATTATACATTCGTTTCTAGGTTTCCTGATCTATGACATACTATTAGTATGAGCTCTTATTTATTGAAAGATTCATTTTATGGCCATTTTTGTATTTTTTTTTTAATCGTATTCACTCATCTAAAACAAGCTGTTATACATATTTCTTATTAGAGTAGTTGGGTAAAAAACAAATCTTCATTATATCCGTTCAGTTATTGCATTCTATTTTTAAAATAAATGAAATAATAGTGTTTTTACTCTGCAGTTAAATAGAAATAGTGTTATATTTTGAAATGTGATTGTTTAAAAAAATCATGCATAATATCTTATATTTACATCTCCTTCGAGTATTTGAATTGAAATGTATTCATTGTCTGAATTTATTTGATGGTGGATAATAGCAGTTTCTGTATTTGTTAATGGGAGATTTGTGGACTTGATTAATAGATTTTCTGGTGAAAAATGGCATTCCGTTTCTTTTAAGAATATGGCCCTGTGTAATTATGTAATCAGCTGTGCCTTTTTGACTGTGATTCTGTTTGATTTGGCTGTTATTAAATTATTCAACTAAGCTATCAAAATACATTTACAGGATATCTCGTTTAATATTGTATGTTAAGGGTGTTCAAAAATGATTACAAATGGTGACAAGAAGGTCCCTTTTCATGATTTAGTTATTTTTATCCATTTGTTTTCTTATGTTGTTTGTCTGTTGTGACATTTAAAGAAATCTGAAGTCAAATTTCTTCCAAGATTAATCTATAGAGACAATAACTCTGAGTTGTTGTGTGTGTGTGTGTGTGTGTGTGTGTGTATCATCAGTATGACAGTGTTATATCTCAGTCAACCTGGTTAATCATGGCAAGGAGTGACTAAATATTTTGTGTTAATGTAAAAGACTAATTAATAAAGCAATGTGTATTAACAAAGATCAACACATTTATATTATACCATTATCATAAAGCAGCACATTAATTCCCACTCCCACCTTTTATTTTAGAATTATGTTGACACATATTTTAACACATTCAGAAACAGATCAAATGACATTTACAAGTCAGACTGATTGGTCACCAAATCCCAATTAAAAGCTTCTATATTAATGACCAGAAGTGCCTGAACATTATTAACATACTTGGTCACTTTATAACATATAATACAATGTCACAGAATTAAAATACGCCCATTAGAAAACTTGTAGTGTTTTGCACAAAATCTACTCTTGGATAATGGCAGTTTCTGTATTTGTTAATGGGAGATTTGTGGACTTGATTAATAGATTATCTGGTGAAAAATGGCATTCCGTTTCTTTTAAGAATATGGCCCTGTGTAATTATGTAATCAGCTGTGCCTTTTTGACTGTGATTCTGTTTGATTTGGCTGTTATTAATTATTCAACTAAGCTATCAAAATACATTTACAGGATATCTCGTTTAATATTGTATGTTAAGAGTGTTCAAAAATGATTACAAATGGTGACAAGAAGGTCCCTTTTCATGATTTAGTTATTTTTTGTCTGCTCTCGCACTGCTGTGCCGCTGTCATCTGACACGATATTAAAAGGTGCATTTCTAGGCAGCACAGGAATATTGCACAGTATTTTCAGGTCTAGAGGTACAGCATTCTGGAGTGGTTTGGATCAGCGATCATGTAGGTGTTTATAGTGTTGCCCTAAGGAAGATGTCATGTTATTCGATGTATTTGTAGGTGCAATTAATGTTTGTGTGGCAAACACACGTAAATATATACTGCATATGCGTAGATATTTATGTGTTTGTGTTATCTCTTCTTGGTCCTTCTCTTCCCTGAACAGTGTTCACTTCCCTCCAACAGGAGGCAGTGGAGGAGCACCTCTCACTAAAGCTGGAGAGATAAAGAAGACATGAGGAAATGTGTTCATCTCTATGGAGAAATGATAGGTCAAAGTAAGGACTTTACCCTTGTTGCTTTGGCTGGGGTAGATCTTCGGGAAGGGTCTGTATTCTTCAGGTGGGGGAAGGTCCTCTATAGGGTGGAAGTCGTACTTGGACTCAAAATCACCTGAGAAGAGACATCAAACATTTTATAAATAGAAAACATTATCTATTCTATGCACTACCTAGTGGACAAGTAGCTTTGCATATGCTAATGTTTAACTGCCATGTCAAGATGAGCACATTCATTTAATTTAGCATGTGGCGGTTGGAAGAACTATTGCTAGTTCATCATATGAATCAATTTGAAATTCAATCCATCTATTCCAGTCTTTTGCAGATTAAAGCTTCATTAAAAATTCAAAGCAATACATTCAATATTCACAGTGTACCAAAAAAAAAAGAGAAAAAAAGAGTCTCTAACTCTACATATATTTGTTAAAAAACTAAAGTTGTAATAATAATTTAAAATAACTTATTTATATAAATAAATGATCAAATGTAATAATATATTATAAATGATCATTTATAATTATAAATGATCATTTATTATTCAAACAGAAAACAGTTGTGATGCTTAATATTTTGTGGAAACTGTGATAAACAGCTGTTTAAAAGTTTGGGGCAAGTAAAGAAATTAATTACTTGTATTCAATTCATCAAAAGTGACAGTAAAGACATTTTATGTTACAAAAAATGCTGTTCTTTTGAAATGAACAATATTAAGTTATAAAATTAATTGTTTTCAATATTAATAATAATAAGAAATGTTTCTGGATCAGCATATTAGAATGATTTCTGAAGGATCATGTGACACTGAAGACTGGAGTAATGATGCTGAACATTCAGCTTTGATTATAGGATTCAATTAGTTGTTAAAATTGTTTAGTTTAGATTTTGGTGTTTATAGTGAAATAGTATAGCAAACATAACTTGATTATCGTTTTTTTCTGTCTTTTACTTCTTGAATTAAACATTTTAAAACTAACTGGACACAGTAGCTGTTTGGTGAAAATTACAATTCTTCCGATGGAAAAATAATCCAATCCAAAATCTGATATTTCTTTAGCTACTTTCTCCAGCCCACAGATTCCCAGGATTTTCCCCAGCTGAACCCTTCTGACAAAACATTTTCTGGGTTTTTAAGTGAATATTTCAGTAATTTACCAACACATTTGGATGTTCAGGGGTTTCTGATGTTGCTTTATTGTCACATGGCATGCGGGTAAACAAATAAAATAAGTTTATTTTGATGGTTTTAAAATTATTTATTTACAGTAGAGGCCTGCATGATTTGGTCCAAAAAATATATTGTAATTATTTTGTCATATATTGAAATTTCAATTTCCTAACGCACATTCTAAGCAACATTCAGAGATGGAGTTTGTGTTTGGAGTGTGAACCCAGCCGCACGAGACACTGAAAACCCTGGATCATGAGCTGCTCACGTGTAAATGAACTCAGAAACACGCAGTGCAACAGACTAAAATACAGCCTTTTGTGACTTCATAATCATATTAAACTATATCATCATTTCAATTTTGCAGCTCTATTTATTTAATCTGACATTTTTATCATTTTAGTAATGCATGAACCCTCTGCAGTTCCCTCACAAATCCCCAAGAGTTTGAGAAACCTGTATGAAATACATAAAGAAATCTGTTTTTTTTGTAAATTAATGATCACTAACAGGTCACGAGTAAAATGATGATCTTATTTTTCAGAACTACTTATCTCCGCGTTCTGAGAAGGCTTTGTTGACGGGTGTAATGAGGAAATAAGTGGGCCGCATTTGAATTATTACTGAGAGCTCATTTGACTCCAGGGTTATTTTCATGTGCTGATGCACAGTAGACTACAGATCCACTTCGGAAATCAAAGTTCTGATCTACGGGAACTTCCCACAAACAAACAAATGAGCAACTAAGAGAATGAACTGAACTGATGGAACTCACCAAGAAAGGACCTGGGGGCAGATGACGCATGTCCATTGCGCAGAGGTGGAGGAGGAGGAGGTGCATGTCCTGAATGCTGACGTCCAGCAGAGGACAGAGGAGGGGGCTTCCCTCGACTAGGGGGTTCAGAAGACGTTTGTGGCCCACCACGATAAGGAGGCGGGGGTGTTTCTCGAACCCCGTTACGAATTACAGGAGGAGGAACCTGAGGAGCTGAATGAACACTTCATTTTAAATAAGATCTACATTTACTTGAAAACCCTTGATTTCAAGGAACAGTTCATGAAAAAATGTTCATCATTTAGTTATTTTTCCATCTGAAACCTATTTGTTAAGTAATTCAGTTTTGGTAATTGGGTAATTTAATTCTATATATTGTTCAGGGAGTCATGTTGTCAGGCGATAAATTAAACCGGTCATAGTAAAGTTTGGCCACAAGCCGCCTCTTGATATTTCAGTGCAACAAATTTTAAGTATTGGTACTGTAGCATCATTTTTGGTCATGATGAGGTTGAAGATTATATATGTTGTGTGCGGGAAACAGATGCTGAAAGTCAAAACACGTCAAAAAAAGCACTATATATGTATGCATGTATAATATATATATATATATATACACACACACACACACACACAAACACATGTGTATGTATGTAAGATATATTGATTCTATATAACAAAACATCTTTAAACCAATAAGGTTAATAGTTTTCGATTGATTTATTGTTTGAATTTTGATTATGCCACTGGCAGTGCTTAAAAAAAATGTCATTCTTTCCCTTCTTAAAGCATTTAAGTACACAGCCCTTTTGTCAAATTTTCAAATACTTTTGATGTGATACACCTTCTAGCTGGTTGGTTTGGTTCATGGTTTATAACTCTTTAACAAACACTTTAAAAACCTTATACTTCAGGAAACAAGGCCGTCGAAAAAGTGGCCAGGCACTAATGCACTCTAAAGACTTTAGTCAGGTTAGACGCCATGTTGAATTCAATGCAGATGAAATTGAGGCTGTGACGGATAGACCTACAGGCTTAACATGCACTGTCCTAACAGTCCTAGATCATGTCATTTTCACAACTCACAACTTTCAGAATTGTTTTATGAAGCTTTTGTCTACTGAAAGCTTTTTTCGGAAAGACATTTCATCAACCGAACAATCGGTACAATCCACTGAACGCACTTTAATTCTAGCCTCACAGCCTTGTTTCATTCCTGTCAGAAACTGACTAAGGTTTATAGTGAGAGAGTTCTCAGTTTGTGTTTTACCTGTGCTGCGCACCACTGGATCTCGTGATGGCGGCGGGGGTCGTCTGTTCTGCTGGGCAGGGGGTGGAGGAGGAGCCTGGCTACGGACGTTAGCATTGCCATGGCTTCTCTTGTTCAGCGAGTTTCGCCTCTTTGGCAACTCGGGGGCCGGGTCACCATTTGCAGCATTAGTCGGCTGACGATAAGGAGGAGGAGGTGGAGGTGCATTTGAGGAAGGGGAGGAGGATGAAGAGGAGCGAGATGAAAGAGGGGGATGTCTAGGATGCCCATCCCGAGCAGAAGATGGTGGCGGTGGAGGCCCCTTACTTGCATGCGGTGGTGGAAGGGGTTTCTCACGACTGTGTGCCCCAGAAACCTGTTGGGCTGAGGAGGGTCCGCGGTTGCCACCGCGATTGAATGGCGGGGGTGGAGGTGGAGCGGAGTTGGTGGGTTTTGAGGAGCTGCTGGCAGCAGACGGTTTGGAGATGTCTGGCACGGAGGGACGGTGATTTCGTGACTGTTCTGGAGGTGAGGAGCGGCCTCCATTACCACGACTGGATCCGTCCGGTTCCGAATGACTCGTGCCACGAGGGACCGCAGGGCGAGAGCCAGGCGGCCGCAGCGCTGACCGCCCTACAGAGCTGTCTGTGTGGACACATTAATCAAACAGTTTGAGATAATAATTAGGGCTGCACGATATTGAGAGAAAAGTGACATTGCAATATTTTTTTCCTGCCATATATACTGAAACATGAAAAAAAATTATTTTGGTAATTTGACTTTTGATTTTGTGAGATAGTGCTTCATAGAAAAAAAACATTTTTGGTTTACACCGAAACGCAAATTCTGGGCCGAAACCGAAAACTAAAATTCTGAATGAACGTGGCCAAAAACTGAAATTGAAAATGCTTTTTAATAAATATATATTATTTTAGAAAATAATTTGGCAAGACTTTTTAATTTGACTTAATGTTACTGAATTAAAAAATACAAGCCAATAAAATAACTAGGGATGCAACGATCTGATACTTAGTATCGGTATCGGCTCTGATACTGGCATTTTCTGCCGAATCGGGTATTGGTCAGATGAGACCGATCCAAATCCGATATTGTGCATATACTATTCTGTGTTATTGTTAAAAGGTTAGTTCACCCAAAAATGAAAATTAGCCCATGTTTTAATCACCCTCAAGGCATCCTACATGTTTATGACTTTCTTCTTTCAGACGAATCCAATCGGAGTTATATTAAAAATTGTCCAACCTCTTCCAAGCTTTATAATGGCATGGGCGGGTGTTTTTGTTCAACAGTCCAAAAGTAGTCAAATAAAGCGCATCCACCCATATTAAAATGTGCCTCACATGGCTCTGGGGGGTGAATAAAGGCCTCTCTGCGCTGTGACTCCGTTTTGCTTCAAGCGCATCATTCTGTGCACAGGATGCGCATATGTGCTTTGTGCCGCTCTGTATTGAGCCTTTCATATTATAATACTTTTGCGCAATGAAACATTATTAATAGCATTTCTTGTTCTGTCCTATCTATCATATGTTGCTGCCTCCATCACTGTACTATACATTTAAAAGAAATGTATTTTAATTTTATAGTATATATTTATATCTAGATATATTTACTTGTTTTTCATGAATGTATTTTACAACAATTCAAAGAATTGACCAGATTTAGTCCTACACTTATTCAATTTTATTTGTTCCTCACTAAATAACGTTCACTAAATGTTTAGATTTTATAAAAGTATTGTGCACTCATGATTTTTCCAGAATAACTTTTGCTGCTGAATTATTCATTAACCTAGTTTATAATAGTATTTTTGTCATAGATTATGATTATATATTTTTTCATTTGTTATTTTTCTTTCAAATGAAATTGTCTATATTTAGTAGATTGTATTTAACACACAAAATGTGTTAAATACAGCACCATAGTCCCCCCCCTCCCATAGGGGAGGCAGTCATGGCCTAATGGTTAGAGAGTCGGACGTGAACCCGAAGGTCGCGGGTTCGAGTCTCAGGTCCGGCAGGAATTGTCAGTGGGGGGAGTGAATAACCAGCACTCTCTTCCACCTTCGATACCTCGACTGAGATGAGACCCTTGAGCAAGGCACCGAACCCCCAACTGCTCCCCGCATCAATATGGCTGCCCACATCCAGGTGTGTGTTCACATTGTGTGTGTGCACTTGGATGGGTTAATTGCAGAGCACAAATTCCGAGTATGGGTCACTATACTCGTCCACAAGTTACTTAAATTTTTTTTCAAAAGAGTGATGATCAGGTCAACACACAGAAGTATAGAAATTCTACATTGATTTAAAAAAAACTGCGCTGGTATCGGATCGGATCGGATCGGTATCGGCCAATACTCAGAACTTTTGGGATCGGATTGGATCGGTTCTGAAAAAATGGTATCGGTGCATCCCTAAAAAGAAAACACTTTTATTTAAAGTAAAACAATCAAATTAGACAGAAAATATGTTCATATTAAATATCAATATATTATTTTTATTTAGTTCTATGCAACAGAATCAGATTTAACTAAAATTTGTAATAATTTTTAACTGAATTTTTTTTTTTTAATTATACAACATGTATTTGACTCATATTTTCTGCCATTTTTCTCTTTCGGCTAAAAACCAAAAATGGCATTTTCGGCCGTAAATTTTTGGCAGCCAAAATTTCAGTGCATCCCTTATAAAAAATAATTTAAAAAAAAGTTGAAAGTCATTTTTATTGTGCAACCTTAATAAAAATCACCATTGCACTACTCACTGTGAAAGGGAAACATACCTCCAACTGGTCGTAGTTTAGGCACTCCTCCACTGAACAATCCTCCCATGGCCATTGGCCCAGAACCACCTCCACCTCCACCTCCACCTCCTCCACTGCCACCTCCACCACCTCGACCTCCAGTCTCTGCCAAAAAAAAAAAAAAAAAAAAAAAAAAAAAAAAAAAAAAAAAA